AATAAACTCCTCCTTATAATAGAAGATTCCGGATCTTCTATTATGCCCTAGCGTTCAGTCTTCTACGGAGAGTTTTCTCTTGTCTCTCTTTTATTTTCATAATTTTTTAATAAAAGTTTTTCAGAAAGCCAAAACAATTTCGAGAATTTGAAAAGAGATTTTTAAAATGTGAAAAGTCGAGAAAGAATAGTAATCTTAATCTTTTAAGATTTTTTAGCTAAAAACTCTGACAACTAGGCATATGACGAAAGCATGTAGGAAAAAAAGCAAAACATTTTCTATAATATATCCAACCAAAATCTCTCTAATTTCTTGATGCCTATACATTTCGCATTTTATTCGAGAATACATGAAACTCAATTAATTGAAGTAAATGCAAGTTGCTCAAGAGTCTAGATTTTTCTTAAGAGTTTATCAAAAGTTGAATCTATATCGATGAAAAGGCAATGGAAAAAAAGAGAAAAGTTGACTTGATAAAAGCATTGCATCTAAAGAAAATTAGATTGATGCCAGTTGAATAGTATATGATCTCTTTGATGATTTCTCTCGAAAAGAAAAATTCTTATATAAAAATAAACTATTTCTTCAGATATGACTAAATATCGGTGACTCAATATTAACAAGTTTGTTTCACCTATGTGTTTTGTGATTAATAAAGATTCGTTCAGTTTTACAAGATATTACTTAATTCATCAACCTAATCGCTCCTCCTTACTTAATTAGACAATATTGTGTGTGTAGGTTCGATCATAAAGAAAATCATGATGGGAATTCTTCAATGAATCATTTTTTAAGTAACAAAATAGAGCTTTGAAGAAAGAGTCATACTTACTAGAGAAGCAGTGTTTTAGCTTCAAGCTGATTATATGTTTCTTCTTCGTTGCATCGAATTCAAAACTTTTGATACTGAAACAAACACCTGGAGTTATGAGTTCTTCTTCTTCATCTGGATACAAAGATATTGGCTTCAGATCAACGGAGAAGGCAAAGGCTATCTCCATAATGAATAAGACATTCGCATTCGGAATTTTCTCTGCTATATTGGGATCCCGACTGCACGAAGTGAATGCTTGAAATGAACCAAATTCCTCAGGATCGTTAGTCATCCCTTTATAGGCAGCGATTTGCTGATCCGTCAACTTGGATGCTCGATAGAGTATTTTATCTATTGTAAGTTTAGTATTGAACGGATTATCCCATAGAAGCAAACAAAATGGTCCTAACGTACTGATTTTACTTTCCCAAACTTTTTCATGATCGCTACTCCCTATAAGTCTCATTGCTTCATCCAAGTTTTTGTACAAAAAACTTTCCATTGAGTAAAGATAAGCACAACATGTCCAAACTTGATTTATTTCTTGGTTCTTTTTCTCAAGAAGAATTTCAGCTAATTTATTTCCTTCGTACAACTTTCCAATATTCTTGCCTTCTTCAATAATACCGGCAGCAGCTGTTTCAACAATCGTCGAGACGATTGTTTTGTCTTTTGAAGGTAATTGTTCTGGATCAAGTTTTAAATATTTTCTCACTGCCACTATAAAAGGAGAAACCCATCCATATTCACCACCGACAGGGCGTTTTGGAGCGCTTGGATCATGCATGAAACGTTCTTCCCGCACACGTTTATCATCTCTTTTTTGCTCTGTTCTCTGGATCGGTCTCTGATTCTTTTGATTTCTTTTTGAAATTTGAACATTTTGCTTTAAATCAATAAGATAACCATCCAACTGCACATATACTTGGCTCTTAGAATATGCTTCTTCAAGAATGAGATTATTTATGTCGGAGTAATTACTCCACTGAGCTACTTCAGACTTTAACCAAGGATTTGGGTTCGATTGCCACATCCATTGAATGTTTCTCATTGTGTTGATGTTCGTATCCATTGCTTCTGCCTTGAATATGGTTTCAGCTATCTAATTTCAAGCGATATTAATTCTACAGTAAGTAGCTCTCAAATTTTTCAATCTATAATCAACAAATGACAAATGAAATTTATGTAATGCTGTGCAGTTTCTTCTAGTACCCCCATCAATGAAAACGGAAAAGCTCTTTGTAGAGTATTTGCAAGTACAGTCAGTATATTTATCTCATTTATTAGTGAGTTTCAAGTTTTCTAAAATAATCTACTTATCGTATTGTAGAAAACAAATACGAGGAACAGATTTCGATAAGTAGGTTTCAGAAAATCTTGGTTAGACTATCTGTGAAGCATTTTAGTATAGTGAGAGAAAATAAAAATCTAGTGTCGATCCTACATATTTCCTGTCTGTGAAAATGACACGAAAGAAAATAAAACGTGTGGTGAAATATCGTTTCATCTTTTGAATATAATAATGTGCAATAAAGGACAAAAATTATCTAAATGATTATTCTGAAAAAGTCCTCATACAGATGTTAATTGATATTGAATACCTGCCAATTCATAATTCACTCTTCTTTCTATTTTACAAATTAAGATAATATTCATTTCACACAAGTCCCTATTCATTATTAATTTCATAAGATTAATTGTCAAATTATTTTGAATTTTCAGACACTATATATATATATGAGTTTAAAGCAATCTCTGTAGAATAATAGTGATATAAAAACTAGGAACTTTGTCCTATCAGTATAGTCTTCTACAGATCTGTTTTTTAGCAAATAATTCATAACTTTTTTCTGCGATTTTCATTTGAAATAATCTTTAGTTTCTAGAATAACCTCAGCATTACGCTACTTATTCACATATTTTTTATTCAAAATTAATTCGCTTTTTTTTAAAGCTGCAACTCTGACAAAGATACTTACTATTCATCGTTCTTTTTTTGTCTGTTCTACTCTTTTGGTTTTAATTCGGTCAGCTTCACTATTTGTATTTCCTAATTCGATCATCTATTGTAAAATACATCAAGTTTTGATAGATGATCGAAAAAGCAATGTTTGCAATACTCAAAGTGCATAATTTATACTTGGTACTGGCACAAATGGTGTAGTACGGGTCAAAAACTACCTATATACAAAGTATGAACAATATAACTTTTATATCATGTAGCGCTTTACTTTCCATACAATTATGGACAAACTTATCAATACATGGATTCGAGGAAAAGTTGGAAGTAAAATAAATATAGGTGTCAGAAACCAAAGACGAATCGAATCAAACTAATTTTCGAAAAGATAGTTGAAAGTATGCAAACGTTATATGGAAAATGATTGATTGAATTGTAATCAAGTTTACGAAAATATGATGCTATCGGCAAACATCAAACGAGTTTTGCCCGTTTTTTCAAATGCTTAATTTAATATTTGTGTAAAACACTTTTTTTTCTCCATATTACAGTTAAATTAATTGGATCTGTAACAGTGGGTCACTTCTATACGATTTAACTCGGTTATTCTTTTCTCATTTATATTATATCCTTTTTCTTCATTGCAACGAATAAATGTCTGTAATGATTATCATATTACCTCTGGCAATAAAAAAACTGGTGTATGCATTAATATTAAAAATTTAGCTTTAATGCGACTGAGCTTGCTTTTTTCGAACGATTATGCAAGAGAGCAGATATTAACTATTAATATATGTATTATATGAGATCTATTTGATTAAAGGATAAAGTCAAAAGCAAAAAGGCTTGCTAAGATGATAAGTGCTGTATAGCAGCAATATCTTTGATTATGCTGTGAAACCAACTATACTCAATAGATATGGTGATATTTTATTATATGATGTGAATTTCTGAGGGGTCTATCAATCCCTAAAAGAAATATCTGTATCTTGATTTTGGCCATCAAGTAAGTAGTATCATCGTGAAAAGTTGTCAATAGTCGTCAACAAGAAATCTTTATCGCATGCTCACAGCTTTAAACTAGCTTATCATTTAGAAGCATGAATGTTTACAATATATTTCATAAGTTCACCACTGCATAATGAGGAGATATTTCCTTATTGATAAACCATATCAGAGTTAGAACCAGACTGACTGGCTTGCCGTTCTTTGATTCAGTCAGATTGAACTTTAAAAACCGAACAGTTTTGATCGATTTTTTTTTTAATGTTTGGAATACTGAAACTATTCTATATTGCCCACTGTTGTCGATTTCCATGGTATTAAAGATCCAAAAATATGAACTTAAAAGTTTTTAAGTAACAAATTCCTAGTCATCATCAACATTTCAGCTCTAAATATTAAGTTTATGAATTCTTATCGTTCGATAAACGCTTTCGATTATGTTGACTAAATTCATTATAACTACAAAAAGTTAGTCAGTTGTCAGAAGTTAAATCCCATCTAAAGGAGAGAATTTTCAACTTGACGTTTGCATCTCATTGTCCTTGATTACTTTCAACCATTTATTCCCTATTGAGCTATTTACCATCCATTGTTAGAAACTATCTGTTTGGAGGAATAAAGTATCAGATTAAGAAGGCCATCGAACATTATCTAGAGCCTTCAATAAACTACAAAGTCGAATCAGATACAAATATAAAATATCAAAAGTTTCTCCCGAAATATCATATACATTAATATGTTAGAACAATAGATAGTCGCTACAATTATCTATTATAAAGTAATCCAAGTCATTTGATGACGCTCATATCATTGCCTTGACTGATTTACAATCATCTATGACTCATAATTAAGGTTCAATCGGTTCCATTTCATGTACCGAAATGTCTTTTTCATGAGGCTTTTTTTTCCTCATGCTAATTTCGAAGAGTCGTTTTCTAGAAAGGCAAGCATGTCAATCAATGAAATTCATCCGATTGTTCCACTCTTCGGGCAATAGCTAATACAGAAGAACGAATAGATTATCTTTGGTGGAAAAGTTTCTATTTTGTGTTGCATTTGAAAAATCGTGAGACTTTTCCAATTCTGTGAACGAAACCGTTTTGGTTTGACGTTCAGATCTTAGATTTCGATGGAGTTCAAAGAAATACAAATAGTTTTTTCAGTGCTTCTACACCACTAAAAAATTCTAAAAGCTTTTTATGTAGTTTATTGTATTTATGCAAAACATCGAAGGGTTTTTATTTTAATGCAGTTAGATAGAGCATCGATTACTCTATCGAACCATATAGTTCACATTGCATTTCCTTTGGTTCTAGTTCAAAAATTTGATAAATCTCGAAAAGCTGCCAAAAAGGTTTTTTTACCAGCAAGTTTCAGATTATTTCTGAGATAATTTTTTCAATGACTATTAT